AATATAATATACAAGTTTCACTTTTTAAATGGAATTACTGAAATCAATCTACTTTTTCATGATATTCTAATTTTATGACCAGCACCTGTATGACGATCTAAAATGTGTTTACAAAAAGATATGCTGTTGTTTGTTTGTGTGTTTGCTAGTTTTTTAATACACTTACACCTTACACTGTTATAAACACCAGCTGTTGTTAATGTTGATGGGTTTAATTTAAGTCTCGTTAGAGGCTCTGTTGTCTTTGAAAAACTTTAGTGTATTAAAAAAAAAATCAGGGGGCCTATTCAAGAACTCTGCTACTGGGGATACAACAAGACAGTCAGACTTTGTTAATAACCCTTTTCAAATCATAGGGGTAGTTTAGGGGAAATGATATAAGATATAAGATAAATAAAGATGAAAATGTGCATAACAAAGTGTTGATTCGTGATCTGTTTGATTATGAAGTCTTGTGCTTTAAGAATAATACTTTTCAGGGGACCAAACCATATTTATTTAAATGAACTTTTTCTATTTGTTACATGCAAAATATAAATATTTTTGTAATACCCTATATTATGTTTATATATGGGCTAAGAAAAATTGTGAAAAACATCTTTTTAAAGAGTGAAGCTCGTTAATTATATACATTACGCACAAGTTGAAGTATTGTTAGCCTTAATTGCAATTAATTTCCGTTTTTTTTGAGAAATGCCTATAAAGTGGCAGGACAGTAACACTATCTCTCAAGCAAAGTAACACCTTGGTCACTCAAACAGCACTTAGCTTCTCTACAAATGTGAGCAGGTGTCAATTAATTATTTTATTTTTTTAGGTGTCAGTTAAGTCCTAGAAAATTAAAACAACCAGAAATCTTGCTGATATAAATTATAAGTGTTTCCAGGTAGACAGAGGCATAACATTTTTATAAGGGTGGCCAGGCAATAACCAATGTACACTGAGGGGGGCCAAAAGTAGATAGGCGCCAGAAACTCAGGGTCCATCTACACTATTGCAACAGGAAAATTAACAAGCACAACATCCATATTCTCTAATTAAGACAAACTATTATTATAACAACCTTTGCTAACAAATAGACTAGTATATTCAAACATCTGTGCTTTCTAGATAAAATGTATAATGAATACAATTCCTTTCAGGTGTGAGTTCTGGGACAAACATCTCTTCCTTTGTCATTACTTGCCTACTTTTATCAACAATCATTCTGCATAAAATTGATATTTAAGATTACTAATATCAATATAAATTGATTATTAAGTTTTTACTAAAATAGTTATTCATCTATGATTTCACTGAAGACTCCTAGATGACTTTCAGAGACACATGATTTTCTCTTTACCCCATATAACACAAAATCTAGTTCTGAAAAAAGCATTAATTATCACCTTTAATGTTGATTTGCGTAAGTAATTGTTAACATATGAAAAATTTTAATGTTTTTCAAATACCACTTGAGAGTATTACTGCTGCCATTGTCTGTATTAAACGGGTAATATGATTAGCGAAGGATGGCCACCCCTGCCCCCCATCTAGCTCCGCCCCTGCTGGTAGATGACATAATTTATTTCTCTATTAGAAAACAGTTATATCTGTTAGATTTATGTTAAAAAGAAACAACATATTTGATTTCAATCAGTTTTGTTGCGTGTCAAGTCTACTTNATTGCATTAAATGGCCGTTATTAGCGGTTATCAGTCCTATAGAAAGCCTTCAGATTGAGCCTCCTGGAAAGCACAGTAGATTTTTATCATTGAATGAATCCTAACCCTAGAGTAATCCATTTTTACCCGCAGAATCAATTAATCTATTTAAATGTCCAATCTGAACATCATTTTAGTAGTTCACCTATTGTTAAAAAAAAGATCAGCACGTTTTTCATATTGAGAAACCCATACCAAAAAAAAATCTCATATTCTTAACATAGTTGTTTTTAAACACCACATTAAATCTGTGTGACTTAAACATGCGGCTTTCACTCGTAGTAAGCTTTAAAACGCTGTTGTTTTTTTAAAAGAAGGTAGGCTGTAAATAAAGTAGATAAAAAGTATAAAGTAAGAAGAAAGAAAGAGAAACTTTAAGGTATTAGACGTGGCTGAAGTTGCTTTTATTAGTGATATACTGCATATTGTCACCCATAAGAAACCTGCTAGAAAGTAGAGAGGCGCAAATTGAAACAATTCTATAGGACTGATAACCACTAATAACGACCATTTAATCAACACATCGGAACTGCTTCGATCTTTGTCGGGAATGTTGTTTACTTGGAAAGCTAGATTTTCGACGTTTCTTGAATGCAGCATCTCAGCTGATCAGCTTAACCAAAAAAAAAAAAAAAAAGAGAGAGAGAGAGAGAGAGAACGAAAGAGAAAGCGTGTTTTCTTACACTTTAGGAGAGACGCTGTGGAAGTTGGTCGTAACAGAAAGTATTGACTGCAAAAGTAAGGTTGGTTAATGCTGTCTTATTTTGCTTTTCATAAAAATTTGTCTACAGTTTTCAAAAATAAAAAATTGTATGACAATAATATTTTGCTTCTGGTAGAGTACATGGACTCGACTCCTGAGGGGACGAAATATGCCGAATAAAACAGAAGGTAATTTCTTCAACAGCCCATCAAATCATGGGAGTTTCTGGTAAAAGTTTGAGCTGTTGGTCTTTTAGGTCTGCAGGTGGATTATATTGCTTGATTGATTGTCTTTATTGATCTCACAGTGGAGAAATACACTCGTTACATCAGCTCAAATAGACAAAGTACAAGAATGTGCCAAAGGAAGATAAGGGTGCATGGGATATATACAGTATATACAGTGCGTCGACATGACAGTTTGTTTTTTTATAGTAGGATTATTATACAGGGTTATTGCACAGGGAGTTTTATATGGGTATTGATATAGATTAATATTTGTTGAACTGGGTGTCAAATATAAAGAAACAGGTTATTGCCTTTCTTAAAGGGTTAGTTTTTAATGGAGCATTGAAAGGCAGTTCAATCTGAAAAAACTCACTTAAGAGAAAAGACAATTAGAAGAAATGTATTGATACAATTACTTTGTCTTTGGTGCTTAGACCTCGGCAGGAAACATAGCTCGGAATTTTGATAGATATGCATGAACAGGACTGGTGGTTGAGTGGAGATAGAGGAAGTTGTTCAGTCTGTAGACTGTTGGTTAGTATGCTGAGCTTTATGGGGAGATCCAGTGGACTGTGTGAGCTGATATTAGAGCTTCACTCAGGGACCTAGAAGTCCAGTTTGGATAACACAGGTTGAGAGAATCTGTCCATGATTAGCAAGCATGAAGCGACAGTGGAGAGGAAAAACTCTGTTGGGAAGAAACCTGTGGCAGAACCAGGCTCAACATGGCAGTCTTCTGCCGGACCGGTTGAAATGTATCATGGAATGTAGTATAAGTCCAGGAGGAATGACACTGTCATGAAAGGCGGACAGATGGACCCAGTATCGAAGGAGAGACAGTCAGTAGGAAAGTTCAAAACGTTTATTAAATAACCAACAAAACTAAAGTGGAGCTGTGGCACGCGGATACTGCAGGAGGGGGGCACTCTGTGGGAGAAACACAGGTAAGTGACCACGATCTTCTGACAGAAGATGATTATCTGAGTTGGTCACTTACCTGGTTTAACAGTCCAGTCCAACAATGTCCCAAGTGCTGCAGTTCCAGAGGTCTTGCAGGAAGCCCATCCTGGTCAGGGATTCAGAACAGACAGAACAGGATCCAGAACAGGCTGGAACAGACAGGTGGCAGGATCCAGGCTTCCAGACATCATAGAGCTCCCAGGTGGGTTCACACTCTGACTGGGACCGGAAGCATGACCAGGCGGTCATGCACAGGAGGAGACAGGATCAGGTGCAGACAGGCAGGCTCAGTGGTAGAGGGTAGCAGAGACAGGATGTGGAACCAGAACTTGATGCAGGACCTTTAAACTGGTCTCCTCCTTGGAGCCAGGCTTACTGGATAAAAACTGAACCTCCCCAAATATAGAGCCAAAAACCCAGAGGACTCAGCGGGTGAGGAACAGTGGACGATCAAGAGACGAGACAAACACTAAAACCCTCTTTACACTGGCTGCCAGAATCCAGAACATGAACCTAGAAATGAACAGACAGGCTAACAGAAAGACAAATAATGATCTGGCCCTGAATGCTCAGGCTGAACTGAATATAACCCAGAGGAAACAGGTGAGAGGAATAAATTATAATTGAGGCAGGGAGGGAAAACGGCAGGTAAAAGAGATTATCAATTAAGGGAGAGCAAACAGGCCAGATCATGACAGACACTGATGAAGCTTTAGTTACAATGGTGGAGGAGGGGCTGGAGGTGGGTAGAAACGGGGTCATGTGAATGAAGTCATAGCGCAACCACCGCCTGCTCACTAGGTAGCAGATGATGCGGATCGGAGGCCTTTTAAGATGAACTTTGGATGCTGATTGGCTTTCGTGGTGGTGTGGTTCAAAGCTGATTGGCTGCATCGTAGGTGGATGAAGGCGAGCAATCAGATTCTTCAGTTAAACTTCCACCAAGCCTCCAATAGAGAGGAATATGAAAATTAAATCTTCTGTGGCAGAGAGGTTATAGAGCAGAAGGCCCAGCTGCTAATGGGGTTTTAACTCATAGTGTACATGCAAGGCGTAAGTTGGCAAGAATAGCTGGAAAAGTGGGAGCTGAAGAGCAGCCAGGTATGTTGGTATACATTCAGTGATGTTTATTTCTTTGAAGGTGAAAAACAAGGCTTCAGTTGAAATTCCCTTGGTTTTATTTCATAGAACTAATAAGAGCATCAGCATGTAAGTGCAAGGTAAG